TAGCTATGTACAAGAAGCTCACAACAATTGACAGATTAAGAAAATAAGGCATATCAGTAGCTACTGATTGTGTGCTATGTGAAAAAATTGTTAAAGAAACAATGGAGCACTAATACTTTGAATGTGACTACTCCAGACATCTGTGGGCAACCCTGTTAAAATGGCTAGGGGAAATACACACCATAGGGAGCTGGAATGCTTAAACAGAATGGCTAGAAAAGAGAAGTTCGAGCAGAGTTAAAGCACAACTAGTAAGGTTCATATGTGCAGCTGTTGTATATCATGTTTGGGCAGAGAGGAATCAAAGGAGATTTCAAGACAAGAAGATAACAAGCCAACAAAGGATGAATACTATTATCTCAGAGCTTCATACAAGAGGGCAGAAAGAAATCAAATGGCAAAAGGAGCTGGACAAATTGAACTATTATCCTAGTTAGAGAAGTAGAAAATGTATAGCAAGAGTTAGACAAAGTTAGAAATCAGTGATTGTCAAATATTTTTTTCTGTAGGAGAGACTAGTTCAAGAGTCCAAAAGAACTAGTGAGTTGTAAATATTATACTTGGTTGAATGAAAATTAGATAGTTTGAACAAAAAAAGAACTTAATATGGAATGATTACCGTTAATTTTAGTTGATGTTTAAAATACTACATATTAAGAACTTAATATGGAATGATTACAGTTACATAAATAATTTAAATAAGGTAAAATCTGAATTGATTTTGAACTCCTAAATATTAGAACTTCATACATAATTCAAATAAGGACTAAGTTGTAAATATTAAAAAAAAATTGAATTATACTTCTTATCCAATGTGAAATTTATTTTTAAAAGGTAAAAAGCGAACGATATTTCTCTAAGGCCCTTCGTGCTTTTAGTATAGTATAGTATAGATAGATATAAATATAGATAGATAGTTCATCCAAATCAACAACAACAACAACAACAACAACAACGACCCAGTATAATCCCACAGGTGGGGTCTGGGGAGGGTAATATGTACGCAGACCTTACCCTTACCCCGAAGGGTAGAGAGGCTGTTTCCAGGAGACCTTCGGCTCAAAAAAACATCAGGAGCCGATATATTAGTACCATAAAAATGCATAATAAAATAACAGCAATATAAGAGATATGAAATACAGAATACGAAATACGAAATAGATGGCTGATATAGTAAAACTAGCAGGTAAAGCCCTGCATCAATAGACGACCAATGACATTCTTAGTCTAACTCCTAACTGGCTAGTCTCACTCTATTGTGCTGTAGAAATATTCACAACTTTCCCTAACCTACAACCTTAATGCTCGACCTCCATAATTCCCTGTCAAGGGCCATGTCCTCAGTAATCCTAAGTCGCGTCATGTTCTGTCTGATCACCTCTCCCCAATACTTCTTAGGTCGCCCTCTACCTCTCCGCGTGCCCACTACAGCCAGTCGCTCACACCTCCTCACTGGTGCATCAGTGCTCCTCCTCTGAATGTGCCCGAACCATCTGAGTCTTACTTCCCGCATCTTGTCCTCCATGGGGGCCACACCCACCTTCTCTCGAATATCTTCATTCCTAATCTTATCCATCCTTGTATGCCCGCACATCCACCTCAACATCCTCATCTCTGCTACTTTCATCTTCTGGATGTGTGAGTTCTTTACCGGCCAACATTCAGTTCCATATAACATGGCAGGCCTAACCACTGCTCTATAAAACTTACCTTTTAGTAACGGTGGCACTTTCTTGTCACACAAGACTCCCGACGCTAACCTCCACTTCATCCACCCCACCCCTATACGGTGTGTGACATCCTCGTCAATCTCCCCGATCCCCTGAATAACCGATCCAAGGTACTTGAAACTACCTCTCTTGGGAATGACTTGAGAGTCAAGCCTCACTTCAACTCCCGCTTCCGTCGGCTCAACTCCAAATTTGCACTCGAGGTATTCCGTCTTCGTCCTACTCAACTTGAAACCTTTAGACTCAAGAGCATGTCTCCAAATCTCTAGCCTCTCGTTGACGCCGCCTCTTGTCTCGTCAATTAGAATAATGTCATCAGCAAATAGCATGCACCATGGAACCTCCCCTTGAATATGATGAGTCAGTGCATCCATCACCAGGGCAAATAGGAATGGGCTGAGCGCAGACCCTTGGTGCAACCCCGTAATAACTGGAAAGTGTTCAGAGTCGCCTCCTACTGTCCTAACCCGAGTCTTAGCTCCAGCATACATGTCTTTAATCACCCTAATATAGTCAACCGGGACCCCTTTATCCTCTAAGCAGCTCCATAAGACCTCCCTAGGAACCCTATCGTACGCTTTCTCCAGATCAATAAACACCATGTGGAGATCCTTCTTCCTATCCCTGTACTGTTCCACCATCCTCCTAATAAGGTGGATAGCTTCTGTGGTAGATCGTCCCGGCATGAACCCGAACTGGTTGTCTGAAATAGACACCGTCCTTCGCACTCTCATTTCTACCACTCTCTCCCAAACTTTCATGGTATGACTTAGTAATTTGATGCCCCTATAGTTGTTACAGCTCTGGACATCACCTTTGTTCTTATACAACGGGACCATTGTACTCCACCTCCACTCTTCAGGCATCCTATTAGTCTTGAATATAACACTAAACAATGCAGTAAGCCATTCCAAGCCTGCTCTACCCACACACCTCCACAGTTCAACCGGAATTTCGTCTGGCCCGGTAGCTCTGCCCCTTCTCATCTTACGCATTGCCTCCATGACTTCATCGATCTCAATGTCCCTACAATTACTTAATTCATGGTGACTGTCGGCATTCCTCGATTCCCCAAGTATAATATCCTGATCCCCTTCTTCACTTAGAAGTTTATGAAAGTAGGTCTGCCACCTCCTCTTAATCTGGTCATCTCCCATCAAAACTTTGCCGTCATCATCTTTTATGCACCTCACTTGGTCCAGATCCCGAGTTGTCCTCTCTCTCGCCTTAGCGAGTCGGAATAACTTCTTCTCCCCACCTTTGTTCCTTAGTTCCTCATACAGACGAGCAAAAGCTGTCGTCTTAGCCTCCGTCACTGCCATCTTCGCCTCCTTCCTAGCTACCTTATACCTTTGACTGTTCTCTCTCTTCTCCTCCTCGTCAGTGCTCCCTACTAACCGCAGGTAAGCCGCCTTCTTTGCTTCCACTTTACCTTGGACAACTGCATTCCACCACCAATCTCCTTTGTGGCCACCATTGTGGCCCGTAGATATCCCTAACACCTCTCTCGCCGCCTTTCTTATACAGTCCGCCGTCATTGACCACATTGGTTGACAAAGTGACAGACCTTTAAAATTTTATCTCGGGCCCATTTAAAATATAATCTTAACCTTGTCTAAATTTTCTAATTAATGTCAATAGATTATTAAGATTTAATTTAAATATTCTACTTTCATTATAAATGATAATGAAAGAAACTTTCAGAAGGAAAGGGGGGTGGGGCTGGGGGTAGGGGTTGGTGGTACGGCTTAATCACAATAAAAAAAATATAATTAGACTTATATATATTTTTTCTTTATTGATTATTGATCTAGCTAAATAAGATTAATGTTTATCATTTTCAAAAATTTATATTCTTAAATATTCATTATAAATTCAGTACATACTTTAATAATAATATTTGCTTATTTTATTTAAAAAAATTAATCATTTGGCTTGGGTACAAGCGCAATGCGCGTACCATGAGACTAGTATTGAAATAGGGTAAAAATTGTACGGGGCGCCCTATTTGGTCGCCCCCATTTAAACTATACCCATATTTTTAAATTTATTTAACATATACCCTAATTTTTACAACTTCAGGTGCCTCCTTCTTCCTGCTACCTGTGCGCTCCTTTCTTCCTCCTTTCTTTTCTACTCTTTGTCCTGGATGAGGAATGTTGAAACTGCAGTTGAAATAGGACTCAAAGGCCTTCAATTCAAGAATGCGGATTTGTTGCGGAAGAACTTGTGTCTTCTTGGTGTCGATGTTTCAACAAATGAAAATCAAGATTTGGTTTATGTTCGTCATAAAGTTATATGTTAATTGATCAATTATATGTTTCAAAATTGTTGAATGGGGTATATTTGCACTTCATAATCTTGTATATATGCAACCATTTCAAAGTTAAAAGTAGCCAATATATAAAGCTAATTGTTAATGGCCAATCCCAGGGCTAGGAACTGATCGATCAACATTATAACCAGCAAACTGTTGCCATGCAACAAGCTTATTGGCATGAACTAGCCCTGATCGATCAACATTATAACCAGCAAACTGTTACCCTCCAACAAGCTTATTGGCATGAACCTTTTTACTTGGGGAAGAAGACAAAACTTCAGCTAGTATAGGATAAAAACTTCAGCTTATTTAGTGTTGGAGTTTTTTATAAATGAACTTTATAACTTCAGTATCTTCTGCTGAAGTTTTTTGAAAAAGTTTTATAACAAAACTAATGAATCCAGGACAAAAGTTCAGCTTATATAGTACTGCAGTTTTTATAAATGAACTAAATAACTTCAGCATCTTTTGCTGAAGTTTTTGAAAAAGCTTTACGACAAACTATTGAATCCAGGACAAAACTTCAACTAAAACATGCTGAAGTTCAGCAAATAGAGAACAAAACTTCAGCTAGTAGAATGCTTAAGTTTAGGAATTACAAACAACTTCAGGCTCGTCTACTAGAATGCTGAAGTTTGTGTGATTGCCTTTGCTACTTCAAACACGTATGCCTGAAGTTTATGCGAAAAGCGAGTACGCTTGCAATTTTTTTTGTAAAACGGATATAAGTTAAAACGTGACCTAAAAAGCGGGTATAGATGCAAATCCCCCAAAAATAGGCTGGTATGCTTTGCTAATAGAATAGGCACAATAACTTAGCCCAGCTTATATTGGGAAGCCCAATCCAACCTAAGGTCCATCTGCAAGTTGGGTTCAACATGGGTCCAAATATTCGAAAATTCAAAACCGAAGCCCATTATACAAAACCCATTGCACGTCTCAGAAAAACCCTCATTTCTTCTTCCCAGAAAATCTCTTAAACCCTACTACCACAGAAAATCTCTTAAACTACTTCGAAGCCATGCATAGAAGGAACATTAGGTTGCGAAGAGAGTATCTTTACAGGAAAAGCTTAGAAGGGAAGGAGCGTTTGCTCTATGAGAAGAAACGCAAAATCAAAGAAGCTTTAGAGGGTTAGGTTTCACACTGAATAAACGAGAAAATTTTATATAATTCTTTTTTTTTTGTACCTTCTTTATTAACGATTTTGGGTATTTCAGAGGGAAAACCCATTCCAACTGAGCTCAGGAATGAAGAGGCTGCTCTTCGCAAAGAAATCGACCTTGAAGATGAAAATACTGCCGGTATGTTAATTCCCCTTTTGCTTTTGCCCATGTTTCGTTTGCATGTCTTTTTATAGTTTAGAGCAGAGCGGACCCAGGATGGGGCACAATTGTCTTAAACATGCCAATTACTTGTGATAAAGTTTGGCGCAACTCTATGAAAACATAATGAGTTTGATAACTTATCAGCAAAATACAAACTTTAATATTATCGAATATCATCAATGTGATACTAATATAACAAAAATACATCATTCGCTCATACTTGGACTATCTTTCATATTTTGAAAACAGTCAATATTAATAGCATCATTACTTACATTTGTAAATACTTCTTTCTCAAAGTAAAAAACTAAACGATCATTTAAAAATGTATCACTAATACTACTATGTAATTCATTTTTGATGTAATTCATGGATGAAAATGCTCTTTTCACTGTTGCAGTCGCGACAAGTAAAATTAGAGTTAACTTTACAAGTAAATAAACAAGTGAATAACTCTCTGCAAGATTTGCCTCAACCAAAGCTTTTGCCAAATCACCAATTCCTTTCAAATCAGAAAACCTAGGGTCACCACGTCGCATGTGCAATATGAAAGTGTCAAGTTGGTGACTAAGATCTCGAAGCTTCAATTCACCAATCTCATCTAGATAATACTTGGTCAATTTCATTATTCTTTCCTTATCAAAATTAGCAAATGAATTAACTGGATTCAAGCTGGCCATACCAAGAAGCAAGTTACCACTCACAACATCAAAACGACTGTTAAGCTCCTGATGCCGCAAATCAATCACAGAATAAAAAGATCAACATGTAACAACTTGTTTCGATGGTTGTTACTTATTGTATTGTATCGTATTGTTACTTTAAATACAATATTTGTTTTGATTGTTATTTTAATTTGATTATATCGTGTCGTTAAATTTGTCATTACGTAACGACGAAAAGTGCCATATTATATAACGACTGATTTGGCGTGGTGGCGTCGTTGCCTTTCTTTTTCCTCTCATCTTGCCTTTTCTTATTATTAAATAATCATATTTTATCACTTAACCTATTTTTTATATAATAATTCTACTTTGTATCGTATTTTTTCTTAGTAATGTTGCAAGTTTATTCTTCATACTGGTGGTGCATGATATCATCAAACGATACAATCTATCCAAAGATTATATTCATCCAACAATATAATACAATACGATGCCTTATAAAACGACATGTAACAATCATCCAAACAAGTTGTAAGTGATATGATTATGTAACAGTAGAAGGTCTACACTTTGACTTTCCAGGAATATTGAATTCTTCCATATTGGGTACCACAATATCATGTTTAGCACAAAATGAAGAGACTTCATCCATCAATGGCACCCATCCATCTTCTCTCATTACTTGCAACCTTTCCTTTGTGAGGTTAAGAAATACCACGGCATTGGCAATATCTTGCTCTTTCTTCTGTAAAGCTTTACTCAACTCGTTCGACATCATCAACACTTTCAACATCAAGTGAAGCATAAAAACAAAGTCAAATGCATTGATTTTACTCAAAAAGGCTTCTGCTTGTAATCTATTATCAACCTCAGAACCTTCAGATTCAATCACCTCAAGCACATGAACAATAGATGAAAATAAAACAACAAAGTTATCCAACGTTCTACAATGTGATCCCCAACAAGTGTCACCTGGTCTTTGAAGCCCTCGCTCTTGATTTAATTCTTTCCCACTTTGAACTTCACTCCTCTCTAGCAATTTCTCCAATAATTCTGCTTGATAATCACGAAGTTGATCTCTACGTTTAAAAGATGTTCCGACTACATTCAACACGTTAGCAATTATAGCAAAGAAAGTTTCCACCTCCTTATGTTTTTTAGCAATAGCTACAATGTCAATTGCAATTGATGCGCAAAACAATGAATACAATATGCCGATGGAGCTTGTTGTAAAATTAAAGCTTTAAGACCATTCACCTTTCCTTGCATGTTATTAGCTCCATCATATCCTTGTCCACGTATTTTAGATAGGCTTAATAAGTGTTTCAATAGCAAAGAATATATTGCTTCCTTCAATGACTTGTAGATGTATCACCAACACGAACAAGACCAATAAATAGCTCGTTCACTTGGCCTTTTATGTTAACATACCGCAAAGCAAGGGCCATTTGTTCATGGTGTGAAATATCCTCATCAACTAATATCCCAAAATAATCCCCTCCCAAGTCATCAATTATAGCTTTCATAGTTTCTTGTACACAAGCACTCACAATATCCTTTTGAATTTTTAGTGAAGTCATCATATTATTTTTTGGAGCATGTTTTAATATAACACTATCCACATCCGGAAGCCTCTTTGCAAGCCATTCCAAAAGCCCTAGAAAAAGGCCTTTATTTTTGGAAGATTCACTTTCATCGTGACCTCGAAAAGACAATCCAAATTCCTAGAGGAACCTTGCAACATCAATTGAGGTATTTAAACGAATTTGGTGATCACTTCTTTGTTTCTCGGATTGCTTGTTAAAAGCAACTTGAATTGACTGAGATTGATTAGAGAAGTCTAGCATCTTATTGAAACACTTATGACATAGTTCTCCTTTATAGTGCGTAGATCTGTCGTGAAATGCATTAGATATTAGATATGATTTGCCTCTTACACTTTGTGCTTTGAATGTCTTGGCTTACTAGAAAAGTTGTCCCTAATGTCATTGTTATCCTAAAACACAAGGCCAGGGAAGAGCCAAGGAATTGTGGAAACATTAAACATGAACTATCTCCTTAACAGCTGCACCTTGTGTGGTTAAAGAAATTCAACATTGTGATCCTTTTCCTTTCTTGAACCCAGTTGATTCCTGCTATGGCTCTTTCTTCAACTTTCGCTATATTCTGCTCCATATCCTTTGCCTATTGTTCCTCACTTACAATGGATCTCATGTTTCAAAATTATATTCTCTGGTCCCGTGGTGGATGATCATTTCTCACCTTTTTCTTCAGCTTGTAGTATCAGACCTTAAATACCTTTTTCCGCCTTTTGGCTAAAAGTTCTGCTTCATTGCCAAGTTGCCAGGACTTTTTGGTTGTTTTGGCATTCAATGGGTGGTGTCTTCCTAGGGTATGAGTTAATCTCCCTCGTGAACATAGACACATGCTGTTTGCTGTCGTCCACCGGGGTTATGTGGACCTTATGGAAGAACGGAGAAGTTCCATGTTCTCAATTTTGATTTATCAACCATATAAAAAAAGAAAAAAGAAAAACAAGAAATGTTTTAGGATTTGTTGTAGGGCCAGTCCCTGAATGGAAGTTTCTATTGGAACCTATAACCTTTACAGTTATTGTTCCTTTAATACTGTATTTTTTGTTATGCTCTCTCTCTTTGTTTTTTTGAAATAAGTATTCCAGATGGAGGTGAGGTGGTTTCCAGTTACATTACTTGTTGAGTTGTACGTGCTATGTATTTGCTAGGACTACTCCTTTATCTTTTTTAATGATGTTGATGCAGTACCTCGATCAACTATTGATGATGAATATGCTAATGCAACTGAAAAAGATCCCAAAATTTTGCTTACCACTTCAAGAAATCCTAGTGCTCCTCTTACTCAGTTTNAAAAAAAAAAAAAAACTCTTTGTTTTATAAGTCATTTATTTGAGAAATGTATTTTTTCAAGGTAATAATTTCTCTTGTTGTCCTTTTCTTTATTTTTCCCCTGTTGTTGTATGGAGACAGGAATTAAAAATTGTGTTCCCTAATGCTCAGCGGATGAATCGTGGTGGTCAGGTTGGTTTACTATTGTGAAGTCTATTCTTGTTTGATGCTTTAATGCATTATGAGCTAACTAGTGATGGCTTTTGGAGCATTATAGCTTAAAAGTTTCATAATACTTAGAATTGGAACTAATGTGTCTCTAAGAATAGGACAAGGTGTTCCTTTAGTGTGAATTACAATTTAGAATTATTTGTATATGTACATATTTGTATCTGTATGGACATGTTCAACCTAATGCTGGGGTTTAGTCAGCTTAATAATCTTTACTGGACGCTTTTCCATCTTGAAACTTGACCTTCTTTAAACTTAATTCCTTTGTACTCTGGGAAGATTTAGTTAGTGATAATGTGTATTTAAGAAAGCTAATTATTTTTGCACTGTTGCATACTAGTTCAATTTTGATACTGTTCCTCACTTCCTTTAACCTTGGCTCTTCATGTGATTGGGACTTGGGAATATGATTATATCTTACAATAAGATGTAATATCACTATGATTTTTGAGAAACCTGTTAATATATTCCTTCCTCTTTGGTGGGAAGAAAACAAATCAGAATCTTGAATGTTACAGTTTGAGATTGATCTTCTGTCCCTTGTTTTACTTCCCATTTCCATGTTAGTCCGTTGTTCTACTGAGCATAAAATAGGGAAGATCAGCACCCAAGGGTGTGGCCTAGCTGCAAGGAATGGACATGGGAGATCAAGGTTCAAATCCCATCAGCGCAAAATACCTTATGTGATTTCTTTCCATTTGTAAGCCTTGGTGGATAGAGTTAGGCATCACCTTGAGCCGATCTTATTCAATGGATTGTGACTTCCTCACTTGAGTGTTCTATCGAATTTCCATTGATGGACTAGTGGACTCATTCGACTCATCTAGTGGATTAGTTGAGGTGACACAAGCAAGTGGGATACCCCTGTTATCTAAAAATAAAGGAACATCAAGATAAAAGGGAAGAAATTGGATCAGATCCTCCTCCATGCTAGTTTGAACGATGATGATCCTCTCTCTCTCTCATTCTCTCTCTCTCTCTCTCTCTCTGTTTTTTACATGTCAATCTCCTGTTATACTTGGCAGAAAATGGGGCATTTTGGAGAACACTTTACAATTGGTATTTATCACAAACATAATTCACAAGGTTTGGCGCTTTGGTTAAGTATTTCTTGGGACAAGCCAATAGTATAGGCAGCTGGGCAGCTATCTCTACTGTCTCTCGAAGACATTATCTTTTTTGTGTTGTTTTATTTCTAATAGTCTCTACTCCATTCTATTATATGAAAATGAAAGATAAGGAATTGAAGTAACCTGTATCAGCTTTGTGTCTTTGCTTCATAAAAAATGCAGTGGCCCGTATTTTTCTTCACTAGGGCAAGGACATATTTCAGTCGCACTTATTTAATAGAATATAAAAAGAAAAGAGCACATGGCAATGGATGTCACATATTTTTTTTTGTAAAGAAATTGCTGTGACTCTTCGTCTTCTGGACGTTTCTTTTTTCAACGGGGAAAATGATTTGGCTTAAGCATTTAATTACTTTTATGTACTTGCATAAGTATCTAGTCATGTTTTATACACTTGTTATGTGTTTTCATTTTAGTCTCTTTTTTCCCCTTTTTGCAGGTTATATCTGAAATAATTGAAACCTGCCGAGCTCATGATTTTACAGATGTAATTTTGGTCCATGAGCATCGTGGTGTGCCTGATGGTATTATCATTAGCCATCTGCCATTTGGTCCAACTGCTTACTTTGGATTGCTCAATGTGGTAAGTGGTCTTACTCTTCCCTTATATAGTTCCAGAAGTCTTCTGCTGGCTGTGAAGAGTTGCAGATGAGGTCCTCATTTAACCATTTTCATGCAGGTAACGAGACATGATATAAAGGACAAAAAATCTATTGGAACCATGCCTGAGGCGTACCCACATCTGATTTTTGACAAATTTTCAACAAAGGTTATACCTAACATCCTTTTTTTTGATGAAGAGTAAAACCGATCATTTTTTTCATGCATTTCCAAAGGACTTGCTAGACATATTAACAAAAGAAACAAGAATTCTATGTTATCTCCATATCAAAGTTTATAGCTTTTCAGTGGCTTCCAGTTGGTGACATATTGTCATCACGAGTTTTTAATTTGGTCGCTTAAGCAGACAATCAATCCTAGAAGTTTTAATCATATATGAATATCTGGAGTCTTTGTATTCTTAGTGTGGCATCTTATATACTGTTCTATGCTAACCACAGTTATTTTGATCATGCAGCTTGGTGAGAGGACAGTTAACATCCTAAAGCATTTGTTTCCAGTGCCCAAGCCTGATACAAAGCGTATTATCACATTTGCTAACCAGTCAGACTATATTTCATTCAGGTTAGATTCTTGTTCGTAGCAGTTAAATTACTTAAAAATTAGTGGTGTCATACGAGCAGAATGAAGCTTGTAAAGTGTATCTTTGGCATTGGCTATCCTTAAACAAGTAGATATATATCTGACTTCTGTTTGTAATGTTCTATTTTTTTGTTTTTGTTTTTGGTAACATTTTATTTCTTTTTTCATAGTCCATCTTTTAAGGGATGTCTCTTTTAGTTGTTTCAGTCATTAGATTCTACATTTTTCAGCAAGCTTAGCATAGTGAATCTTTTAGACAATCGTTAGCCTTTGTTTATTTCTGTCATGGTGGTGTACATGGATTTGCCTGAAATATCCTAACAAATAGAAAGGTGAAGGGTCCTTACCACTAGGCTACCCCCCTTCTGTTGCCAAAGAACCTTTTATATAGACCTAAGCATTAGAGGGAAAGGGCCTTTTCTGATTGACAGAGAGGATAGTTGAAAAGGAGGTTAAGTTTTGATCATTTGCCAAATATACAACTTCTTCTTTTCCTCCTTGCTTTGTACTAAATTTGATTGAAACATGCAGACATCACATCTATGAAAAGCACGGAGGTCCAAAATCAATTGAGCTGAAAGAGGTTGGTCCTCGATTTGAACTACGGCTTTACCAGGTAACCATAATTCAAATGAGACTTGATTCATCATTCTTGTCTGCATCCGTGTTTATATATAATTCTGAAACTCTGTTATATTGCTTATCTAAGTTATTAGCAGGCCGACATATCTATACAATTTTCCTTGTTGTATTTGGGGAAAGGTATCATGATAATGGATGTCAAGTAACTAGACAATAGTGATATTGGACCCTTACCTCCATTGAGTTTATTAACCTGGTGATTTTTCTTGTTTTTGAAATTTGTCATATTAGTTAACAGCATTGTTTTGGTCTTAAAGAGACAGCGCCTGAAATTGATACTGTGGAGGAGGGTGGAAGTTAGGAAAGACCATACCCTGCTTTCTTCCTGAACAGAAGTGGTGAAATATTTCCGCAGTTTGATATTTCTTTTTTTGCAATTCTCTGATTTGGTGCCAGATAATAATAATCAACCTCTAATCTCTGAAAGCTCTATAATTTAGACCCGATTTGATGTAAGATAATAGTAGCGCTTCATACTATTTACTTGTTACAGTGTAGTTCAACTTTTGTGTGCCTGTCAGTTTCTGATTCTAAATAGACCATTTTCTCCATTTTAAAGTATAACATGGTCGAACATAACGGCCTCATTGAGATGCATGATTTTCTTCCATAGCATGTTTCCAAGTACTTGTGCTGTCTCGTTATTGAATATCAATTACATAATGTACAACTTTCGTGCTATGTTGTTAGGATCATGTGATATCTTTTGGTTTTGCTGAAAGTCTTGATCAGCGTTCCATCTGTCGTGTCTGATCAAGTTACTTGTTTCCTTTCTGTAGATAAAACTAGGAACGATGGATCAGGATGAAGCTCAAACCGAGTGGGTCATAAGGCCTTACATGAACACATCCAAAAAACAGAAGCTTCTAGGGGACTGAAGATGCGGAATAGAAACTTTAAAGCCCCAAGCATTAACAGAAGTTGATATCAAACAATTTTGTTAGCGAGAATACATCACAGAGCAAGATATGTGTTTGCTCATGGAATCGCAGGAGCTATTTATCTTAGAGCAATATTTGACGCTGCTTCTGGTTCCATAGAGAGGAGATGCTGTAAAGTCTGTGCCTCTGTGTGGAGGTGAAAAACTGAACTCTCTTTGTTTCAAGTAGTCAGTTGGTATATCCCTTCAACTGGGAATACAATGTAATGTATAATATGCTAGTTTTTTTTTTTTTAATCTCAAAATTGATTTATATGACTCTTCTATCTTGAGGTTGATGCAGCTTAAATGATGAGGCAAGAGAAAATAGAATGATTCTTTTTGCCTTCAACTTCCTTATCAATCTTTCTCTTCTTTTTTCCCTTTTTTATTTTTTGTGGTATTAAGCATGTACTTGCATCTAATAAGACAAGCACGTACCTCTAACATCTGTCTCAAACCTGCTTTCTTTCCATTCAATTAAACTAGTTGAGAACTGTACAGAATGTGTACAGAGGTAAGAATTTGTAAAAGGCAGAATCCTGAATTGTCAATTCATCAAACAAGTTTCAAATCAAATAAGACCCATGTGTCTTCATGTCTGTTGAAAGTGAGAATTGATTAGTCTCCTGATTTTAAGTTGTCAAAAACAGCCTCTGTTGAAACTTAGATCAACATAGCAAGCTTCTTTAATTTGTTCTGGCATGAAAGCCCGTCTCTTCTGCAGGTTCAGAATGAATGTCGAATTGCATTTGATTCGTAAAATACAAACTATCACTTCATTGGTTCAGAATATAGAATAGAAGCAAATAATACTCTCTCCGTTCCAATTTATGTGAACTTGTTTGACTGGGCACGTAGTTTAAGAAAAAATAAGATCTTTTGAGTTTGTGGTCATAAACAAGTCAAAAAGAGGTCCAGAGTATTTGTATGGTTATAAAAGCTTCGCATTAAGGGTAGAATTGGAAGTCTAAACTAAGTTCTTTCTAAATTTAGAAAGGGGTTGTTCTTTTTGGAACGGACCAAAAAGGAAATATGTTCAAATAAATTGGAATGGAGGGAGTAGAAAATTGAACTATTCCCTCTAATTTCAATTTATGTAAACATATTTTCTTTTTAGTCTTTGCTAAAAAGAATAAACCCCTTTCCTTATTTGGAAACAATTTACCTTTTATACAATAATTTATAGCCACACAAAATATATGTGTCTCATTTTACATCACAACTTTAAAAGTCTTCTCTTTTTTTTTTTAAACTTTGTGCCCAGTCAAATGGGTTCACACAAATTAAAACGGAGGGAGTATTTGGTGTAAAATTGTGTGGGGTAGCCACTTTTTAAAGTGGTATTTACTTTTTATCCAGCATTTTCAATGCTTAGCAATAATAGCCACTAGTCTATTAAAACTAATATGAAAAGACTGTGTTACCCTTTCTTCTATCTCTTTCATGTTAGGGAGAAGAACTGTGCCGCCGTCTATGAGACGACGATTGCTGTGGACTCCGCCGACGTCTATGATCTTAATTGTAGACTAACACATATCAGTAACTTATTCTGTTCATCACTATCGCACTCTTTTTCATCCTCATCCTTTGTATTCTCATAATCATCATTAGACAAATTATCTTGAGACACTAAATTGCTGTCACTTGTATTTTAATCAGACTAGTAATGAAAAGGTTATGTAGATTTGTCTTATCAATATTGCATCCAAGCCGAATCTGACATTAATCTTATATGTAAATTGCAATTATTATTATTATTATTATTATTATTATTATTATTATTATTATTATTATTATTATTATTATTTTTGTGAAAAGATACAAATAACGTTTGTTTTTCTGCTACGTTATGGATCTTGAACTTATAGTTACAAGTTCAAAAGTTTTCGAGTTTCAAGTTCAAAAGTTAAGGACACTTGGTCCTGAACTTATACTAACAAGCTCAAAAGTTAATGACAATAGGTCCTTAACTTAGACTAACAAGTTCAAAAGTTAAGGGCAATAAGTCCTGAAGTCCCGAACTTAGACTAACAAGCTCAAAAGTTAAGGACAATAGATCTTGAACTTAGGTTAAGAAGCCCAAAAGTTAACGACAATAGGTCCTGAACTTAGACTAACAAGCTCAAAAGTTAAGGACAATAGGTCCTGGACTTAGACTAACAAACTCAAAAGTTAAGGACACTTGGTCCTGAACTTACAGTTACAAGTTCAAAAATTAAGGACACTTGGTCCTGAACTTACAGTTACAAGTTCAAAAATTAAGGACACTTGGTCCTGAACTTAGACTAACAAGCTCAAAATTTAAGTACAATAGGTCCTGAACTTAGACTTACAAGTTCAAAAGTTAAGGACAATTAGTCCTGAAGTCCTGAACTTAGAGTTGCAAGTTCAAAAGTTAAGGACTTGGTCCTAAACTTTATGAGTAGAAGGGTGTTTTCGTCCGGACAGGTAAAATTTATTAAAGCAGTGGCTAAAGACTAAAGATATTTTAAACAGTGACTTAAAAGTAAATACATATATTATTAGTGACTAACCGTGCACTTACTCGTATTTGGTTTAGGGTACACAGGGGACAAAGGAAGGGCCTTCAAGTCTGTCTCCCTCTACGTCTATTCTACTAACTTCTCATTTTATATATCATATTGTGGCTTTCAATTGCTTATGCGTTTCAGAATATATACTATATATGTATGTTCATGTTAGTGTTAGTTCATGTCAGAATGATTGAGGCATGAGCGTAACAATTTGGAGATCTCATGTTTGAATTTGAGTTACAATATTTGGTGTAAGCTTATTTGCTCCAACCTCTCAATTACTTTTTCATCGCTACACAGTTCCAAAGCAACAGAGTCAAAAGCGTCATGATCTTTTCCCTACTTTAATTGAATACAACTAGTGGTAAAGTTCTAAACCTAATGATATCGATCTCTGAATCGGTTCTTTTAACAATTTGAGTTTGAGAGGAACTCTTTCAGCTAACTAAAAGGATAGGAAGTTACTGTCCGAATAAGAAGTGAAAAAGGGACGGGTCAATCCAATTAGCTGACATGGACTTCTGGCTTTCAAAAACAATAGTATCAAATAGAGAAGAATATGTTGTTTGAGAAAAATGGATTCCAAGTCTTTAAAATTGAGGGAATTTATTAGGTGCACCAAACATAAAAGTGAATGACTTTAGGTTCCAAGTCATTCGTTTTCTTTTTCTCCCTAAGTCAAAGCTGGCTAAACTCGATGGCACGTAAAATTGTTGCAAAACATTATTCGGGAGAAGTTTATTATCTGGAAGGCGAGCAAAATGGTTGTTGCGGAACACATGTAACTTGCTTTCCGTGAGAAATGGAGTCAGCAAGAGTTTTTTAAGAAGATTGTTGGCTCCACAAGTACTTCAAGCCTCGTCTCAAATTTGATATGTCTGTACCCCGATAAGTCTTGAAATATGGGGTATTTGTAGGTATATAAAATTTATTGGATCTAAATCCATAAAATAATTTAAACCATATTTTAAATTCAAGATATTCGAGTCCAAACAAAATATTTTGGACTAATATAATTGAATTAATTATATAGATCCAACCCAAATAATGAGCCCAAGATGTGATCTTCTTAGAGCCCAGTTTGGTGCCACGTGTCAAATGACGTGGCACGCCAAGTCAAAAGGAAGAGTCAATAGGATCGTGCCACATGTCACAATGACAAGGCATGCCAATGAAACTGTGCCACATGTGCAAGTGACATGTTCTCGCCAATCAAATACGGCATTGTCACTCTTCAATCTGATTGGTCGGAAAGAGTTTGTTCTCATCACAACTCTTCCCTCCCACAACTATAAATAGGGGTCTTCAGAACTCAGAAAGACATCTGAAGTTATAACAAGAAGCAAGAGAGAGCTCGTGGATCAAACACGCAAAATTCTCTAAAAATTTCAAGCTTCAAGCAATCAAGTTCAAGCTCAAGAACGAAGAACAAATCAAGGTTCAAGGAATACGAGTTCAAATAAAAGTTCGTGCTAGTTGAATTCAAGATCATCATTCGTGGCAACAAATGTAGATTCAAGATCTAGCTCAAAGACCCTTAATTTATTTACTATTAGAAAGAAGAATCAGAGGATTGATAGAGATTCACATAGTATTTGAAATCAAATACTACAATTGTTGCAATATTTTTCAGTCTCGATTATTTTCTTGACACAAATTTGTTGTCTACAAGTATAATGGACAAGTAAAAGTGAATGAATGAAGTAATATATATCTTTTAATAATAATACGTTGTTATAACCGAAAAAAATGGAAAGACCAAATATATCCCTTTACTATCGAAAATTGTTTAAACTTACCCTTCGTTATACTATTTGGCCATTTCAGAACTTACCGTTATACTATGAATCACTTCTGCCCTTATTGTTGATGGAGAGTCATGTGGCAGTTCCTCATTTAGCGACCCACCCCCAATTTAGTCTACCCGGTTCACAACTCAACTGCCCATAACCCGACCCGTTCTTTTTGCTTTTGATGCCCTCTTAATGTGGCCGTCGTTCCGGCACCGGCGCAACCACCAGTTGCTGCTACTCCAACTTGGCCATCTCCCTCACCACACTCATCTCGACCTCTTTACTTTCACTAGGTCTCCCAACTTGCAGATCTTTTCACGTCTATTTTTTCTCAACGGTTCTGATGAAGTTCGCAATAATACTATGATTTCTTCTCCTCATCTATCCTCCACCAGTACACCTTCTTTCCACCTCCACATAAAGCTCTTTATTTTCTAGAGGAAACAGGGGTCCAAAGATGTTAACAACAAAGGAAATAACAAAGTTCACATTTTTTGGGATCTTTCCAAAACTAAAGCAAATTTCGTTGGGACATAGAGAGAAATCTCCATTGATTGCATAATTGGGGAAGATCCAAGGTTGTATTTTAGCATGAACAGCAAAAAGGTATTGCAGATTAAGCACTTGAAATGAAAAATAAGAGGTAATGAGAGGATTGAAGTTGATGGGTTTTATGGGATGTCATAACTGGTTGTTTGGTGATAACAAAAATGACTATACTTTGTTGATGTTCAAATTCGAGAAATCAAATTATGACGCTGTTGCTGATGACCACATCTTGAATAGTGGAGTTCAAATATGGTCCCAGCAATATTGTGGGTTGGGGTTCGAGACGAAGTTGATGAAGAATTGTTTATTGAGAAGTTGAAGAAGCTCCTAACGGTACGGTCTGAAATGACCAAATAGTATAACGAGGTAAATTTAAATAATTTTCAATAGTAAAAGATATTTTTGGCCCTTTTCCGAAACGTATTCAAAGCAAATAAAATTATTATAGAGA